GTTGGAGAGTTTTCTCCAGCTTGGCCATCACCTCAGGATGCTGCTTGTTTAAATGCTGTTTGGCTCCTTTCTGGCCTACGAGGACCTGACCACAGAGTGCGCAGTGTTCCATCAGGTAATCATGGAACGCCGGATTTCGAGCGGCGCCTTCTGGATTGTCCTGGGCATCAGACTGTAGACTTTCTACGAGTGAGATCCGGTTCTGTGCTTCTAAGGGTAGCTCTTCCTGCTGTCTAAGCAAAAGCTCTACCCTAGGGCAGGTAGATGCTTCGACATGTTTGCGCAGATAAAACACTGTTCGGAATGTTGCTCGACAGGCGATGCAAGTTGCTGACCCTGGCATTGAATGCAAAATAGGATCAAATTTGGGTCCTTTCAGGCACTGCTGAGAATCTGGGTGAGCCTTCTGCAGGTGGCGACGGAGTGCTCCGGTGCCAGAGAGACATGCTCCACATTCACCGCAGGTCAGAAGCCTATCCTCCACATGGTGCGAGGAAAAGTCCGTGGAGAGGCCTTCCAATGCCTGGCTAACTGCCTCAGCACGCAACTTATAGTGTGGGAGAAGCTGGGGATCGGAGTGTTGCTGTCTCTTTATAAACTGGGTCATTCTCTTTTGCAGCTGCTCCTTCACGTGAGGAATCCGTAATCTCCGGAGTAACTCCTGGTTTGATTCCTTCGTTTCCTGGGAGTAACTCCGCAGGACGAATCTGAGTTGGTACATCATGTGTGAATGGAGCTTTTGCAATCCCTGCTGTGTCATCCCCACCACGTGAAGTGCATACAGAGCAGAGGCCCACGCAGTTATTGTCCAAATCGACAGACGACGTCTGTCTGATAAGACTCGGTGGTTCCGAACTGCATGGGCTACTTCTGACATTGCAAGCTTACTGGATGACAGCCGATGTTTGAGAGTCTTCATTTCATAGTCGTGATAAGAAAGAATGACCCCCAAGTATGGAACCTGATAGCGCAGCGATATCAGCCTGCCCGAGGGGAGTTCAACATACTTCTCTCCCTCGACCTGGCGAAAGAGTTTCTTCCTAATGGTCGAGGCTGAGCCCCCTTGCAGCTGTAGCAGAATTGCTGACTTGGACGGATTGACCTTGAACCCAAGCTCTACCAGCTGATCCAGAAGCATGTCGCAGTACCCTAGTGCTGTCATGAGGCCGGCCGCAGAGTCGAAATGCGACTGGATCAAGCTATCGTCAGCGTACATTGTGAGGAGCTTCACTAGTTCTGCTGGGCTGATTTTCCCAGAGAGCTTCCTAAAGAGAAGCCCTGATGCAAAGGCGAATAAAGAGGGTGCTAGCTTACATCCCTGCTTGATTCCCCTGCGTGTGGCTATCTCAAAGCTCTGATCGCTGGCTGTCATCTTGTACAAGGCTTTGATGTGGAGATGGCCTACCACCTCTATCAGAAGAGGATCTGCTTGTTCGGCTTCCAGGGCCTCTCTTATCGCAGCCTGTTTACAGTGTCAAAAGCTTTGCTCATGTCCACGCTCATGGTGAGACTGCCTCTGAGCTTGAGCCCCTGTTGTCCCTTACCTGCAGCCCTAGTGGTGAGGGCCTGTCTGAACCTGGCCTGGTCCACATGTGTGAGGGCCTTGCAGATAGCCTCCTCTGTGCCCCTGCCTGGGACAAAGCCGAACTGAGAGACGCCGGTCATTGCTAGCTGGAGGGTAGACTTGAGTCTCTTCCTCACGAGTCCGGCTAGGACCTTACCCTCAGGTGCTATCACCCCGATCGGACGGAGTGAGGTTGGTTTGTCTGGCTTCTTGGGAGGCTTTGGGAGCCAGGAGATCTGTGACGAGGTGACACTGTCCGAGAGCCTTCCTGCAGTGACTTCCCTATTAAGGGTGTCCGAGATTAGCCGGATTGCTTGGGGACCTAGGGAGCGCCAGGCTACTACGGGAGGACTCTCTTTAGGAACCGCCTTGCCCAGCTTTATTGTGCCAAGCTGTTCTTGCACTTCTTGCTCAGTGATGTGCAGGCTGCCTTGTATCCCTGAAAGCGGGAAGTCATCCCCTGCTCCAAACAGGTCTAGGGAATATTCCTCTAATTGTCTTCTTTCTTCCTTGGCAGTAAGGAAGCGACCCTCAGAATCACGAAGCTGAACTCTTTCCTGGGGCCTCCCCGACCTGAAGCGCTTGATTACCTTGTAAAGGGAATGACTCCCGTCCTGCTTGGACTTAAGCTCTGCCTGCTGGAGTTGTTCATCTATTTCCTGCCGCCGCCGCTCCTGCTTGTGACGCTTTGCTACCCTCGCCTGTGCACTTTGCTGGGAAAACGAGCACCAGCATCGGAACACCATACGGACCTGCAGCTCGGGCAAGAACTCTGCTAAGACCTTGACTGCTAGTGGGAGTGAGCGCAACGCAGAGCGCTCTTCCCAGATGCTGAGATCTGATCTTTGTGCTGCTTCCTTTCTCTTGGGAAAGTGAGTCGCGAGGGCTGAGTTCATTGCTTGATGGAGACTCTGCCAGGTTTGGGGATGATCCTGAAGGAGGGAGTCTACCTCCCTGGCAAATGCCTGTATTTTCGGGGAACGGTGTCTGTAGCAGTCCTCCATTGCCTGCTGGTCATAGGGTTTTGAGGCTTGGGCGGAGTATCTCCTGCTGTGCCTCAGTTTACCAAGAAGAGGGAAATGCCTACTACCATCCCTCCAGGATGCAACTGAGAAGGTCCTTAGTGGCCGGCAAAACCTGGCGGGGCCTTGGGACTGTGCAATCCTGACAAACGAGAAGTCAATCTGTGAAACAGAGTTGCCTTGTTCGTGGGTGGCTGGTCTATGCACTCCCCAAGTGTTGGTTGCGACTAGCTGGTGCTCCGACAGTAGGGTCTGGAGATCCTTAGATCCGCGATGCCCGAGTCTGCAAGCCTGGATCGTGCATGGCCCTACGTGTTTGTTGTCGGTCTTGAGCGAGGAGTTAAAATCTCCTAGCACAAGGAGAGTGTTGCGATTGGGAACAGCTCGGATGGACTTACTTAGGGCGTGAAGGGTCTGCTTCCGGGTTTCCTTATTCTGAGCAACTGTCTCCTTAGAGCGCCAAACGTATTGATAGCAGCTGAAGACGTCCAGTGAGATGCCGTTGCTCGGCACCCGGACCTGGAGAACTCTTCCTGGAACAACCTCGTTGTAGCGAAGATCCTGTGACTTGCACAGCGTGGAGTGCACCATTATGAGGACCCCGGCTCCCTTCTCCCCTGTGGAACCAGAGCTGATCACGTGCCAGCCTGACTTGCTGAATTGCCAAGAGCCCCTCCAGTGCGTTTCCTGGATTGCTACCAGCTTCACATCCTGAAATGCGGCACTTTGCAGTACGGAGAGTAACTCTTCCCAAACTGCTGTTGTGAGAGATCCTGCGTTCCAGGATAGATAGCTGAGATTCTTATCTTCTGTAAATTTCGAAGGCCGAGTCCTTTTGCCGGGATTGGTGGGCTTTACATGTGCCGGAGCAACTCCAAGCTCTGTTGACGACATCGTCCTTCCCTTGTAGACCGCACTACCTTCAAGCAGAGCTTTACGTGCTGCCCTTTGATAAGAGCGTTTACCCTTCCCTTTAGGAACGGGCTGATGCTTGGTCGAACCACTAGGCTGTTTCGCAGCACTCATGTTGAGTACGGCTCCTGTCGGCTTCGCAATACCGACAACCCTCACCTCTGGGAGATGTTAGAGAGCTGTAAATCTAATACTCCCTCCCGGACTTGGGACCGGGACTGCTCAGGCGCTGACAAATGCCATGGCAAGAAAGGAAAAAGGCAACTGTACTAGCCTGACCTTTCCTGAGCCGAGAGGCTTACAACAACAGCAACAACAACAACAACAACCACAACCACAACAACAACAACAACAACAACAACTACAACTACAACTACAACCACAACCACAACCACAACAACCACAGCACCACCACCAACAACAACACCAGCAGCAGCAGCAACAACAACAACAACAACAACAAGGTAGCACGTGCGTCTGCTGCCGCTCGGTGTGTGTCGTTTATTTTTGGGAGTTTTTTTGGTCAAAAGCTTGAAAACCAGAGTTTTGTGTGGTTTTCATCTTCAAGACGATGTTTCGGATATTTTTATGTTTTTTTGTTTGTTTTTTGGTTACGTTTTCGCGGAATTGTTGCAAATACCATGGTGTTAGGCTAGGCTTTTATTTTTGATGTTTTTTTGGGTTCGTTGCGAAGTTTGTTTGGAAAGCCTCAAAACACAAGGTTTTTTTGCATGGTTGACGTTTCAAAGGTGAAGCAACAAGAAGCGGCAACAGGGCTTCAAGGGGCAACCGGCAGCGTTTGAGAAGAAACATGCCGCATTCGCATGGACGTCATCAGCCGCGCCAATCCCCCCGACCCCCGCACAGAGCTGAAATACAAGAGCAAGTCTGAGCTGGCATGTGCAAAAAGTCGATAGTCGGCAAAAAACACCGAAAAACCGATGCGAAATGCGACACGCATAGGAAGCAGCAAAAAAGAAACAAAAGACACAATTCGCATTCGCATGGATGTACTCCCCCCCCCTCCCCATCCCCCCCCCCACCCCCACCCCGCCCACAGAGCTGAAAGACAAATGCAAGTCGAAGCCGGCATGTGCAAAAAGTCGAGAGTCGCCAAAAATTGTGGTAAAAAAGGATGCGAAATGCGACACACACAGGAAAACACCGAGAAAAAGGATGCGAAATGGAGAGCTGAGCATGTTTTTGTACAGTGCAGCCCGCCGGCTGTTGCAATTTTTGGCTAGAAAACACAGCGAAAACCGACACTTGGTGCAGCTACCACGACTAGATGCTTTCAGCGATGAACAGCGCATCCTCCAAAAACCGATGCGAAAACAAAACGCAAGTTCAATTCCGGGCGAGCAAAGTGCCAAAACTCGAGTTTCAGCACATGCCAGCAAAGAAATCGCACCACCCCGCGCGGCGGCAGACGCACGTGCTGCCAACAACAACAACAACACCACCTTTGCACGAAGAACGAACCGATGAAAGCCTCTACCGAGGCCTCGAGTACATGGACGGAGAGTTCTGTGATGAACTGTGTCACGAAGGGTTTCATTGCGATGGCTTCAATTGCATGAAGTGCAACAGCCGATGCTATGAGACATATTCCTGGATCTCCAAAGTATACGATGCTTGTGCAGACTGTGCTGACGAGAGCTTCGGGCAAAGCCCTTCGGCTTCCGCAGTGGCCGCCACGACCACCACAACAACCACAACCACCTCGACCTCCACGACCACCGTGACCACCACAGAGGTGTGCTCGGACTTCGCGCAGCTGTGCTTGAACAGAGGTTTTTAGGTGCTTGAAGCCGCAGATCCCTGGTGCAGAACTGTATGCTGTATGCCTGTATTCGACATCCCAGGTCGTGGTGCCCAGCCATCTGCGAAGCAGTAGGGAAGCCTGGGGACGATTGCATCACCGCGTGTCAAACACGAAACGGTGAGATGACAGCAACGGCAAGGACCTTCTGCCGATGTGGTTTCTGCAGCCACTACGCTTGGCTGGAAGCAGAGACGGCGAGCCTCTTGCAGACGCAGAAGTTGCCAAGCCCGGGAAGGGACGAAGAGAAAGCGAAGGAGGATGGCTTTGACGAGTGCAAATGCCGAGCCTGGAGCTGCCTTTAGAGCAAACCACAAATCTGAAAATTTCATGTCGTAACAAGCTCGAAACCCTCGTCCTTCTGCGTTTCCTGCTTTGCAAGGAAGCGAGGTGGATTTTTGCCAGAAGATTTGCAAAAGTCTCAGCCTGCAGGGCGATGCAGAGGCCGCTCAAGCTGTGGCCCCGCAGACTTACTGAGTGTTTTCCCGGTCCCATCGACTGACATGCCCACGCAAGCTCTACTCGTAATGATGAACTCACGAACGATCTAGAGATCAATTTCTGAGCTTCTTGCAGGCTTGTGCCCGCCAGTGCTACGGAGATGCGAAGCTTGGCCCTGTCTTGACGGAGTACTGCACCGCTGTCGCTGCCTGCTGACAGGCCCAAGTGTTGGGTTTCAAGCTCTCAGCATGGAGCGACCTGGATGGGGCCATGCGCACAGAGGTGGAAGCTTGTCGGAGTGCGGGGTGGGACAGTTTCAGGCAACAGACCAGTTCCACGAAACCCACCCCATGCATGGCTACTGGCACCTTTCGCAGAACTTGTTTGGACAAAATATAGGGCGACCCCGCTATGTCTCCATGTGGGGATGATGTCCCGGATGGTTTTGGAGCACACGGCACACCACATGCATCACCCCCACACCATGTGCATCACCCCCAGTGCTTTCCCTACCTGCAGTTCTGGCGGCGCACGTGTTGAAGACAGCGACGTAACATGAGCGAAGCGATCACGACACGCCGAGAGCATTTTTCTAGGGCATCAGACAGAGCCACAGCGACCGCAAGGGTTTCGGAAGGTTGCACCCATGCTGGGCCGGTTCGGTGCTTCTGGGTACACCTCGCAGGAGAGATGATGCGCTGAAGCATGCCGCTTTCATTCGCTTCTGTCCTTGGTCCCTGCGTAGATGCACGACAACAGCGCGGGGTCTTGTTTTAAATCGTCATGGAGCATGGTGCGCGCAGCGCGCTCATATTCTTCTGAGATTCGTGTGAGCCCGAATTTGTGTGCAACTCAATCGTGCAAGCCCGAAGGCGAATCATGAATTTCATCGTGTGTCATAGACCCCCGTGCGTGGCTCGCACTCTTTAAATTGTTCTGTTCGTGGAGCTCTCCAAACGGAGACGCTCAAAGCCTTCGATGCGTTCCAGAGACGCAGGAGGATGATGTAGGAATGTAGGTTCTAGAAATCGGGGCCGTGGAAGTCTCGCTTCAAGTTGCTGCGGCCTGGCCTGGAGATGGTCCGGTTGCTTAGACGACAAAGTTAGATGGATGCAGCATGGAATCTCCAGCTTCATGGCCACAGGGGCGGTGATTGGCCAGCGGGAGCTTATGGCAAAATTTAAAACTTCCGTAGCTCGAGCTTGGGCTTTCCAATGGAGGTTTGCCAGGAGTGAAAGGATGTGCTGCGGGTCGTCTTCGTTCGTTGGTCGTCCCGTGAGGAAGCCGTGCAAGCTGCGGCTTGGCTTGAAGAGTTTCCAGGCTCAGAGGGGCCACTCGAAGTTCCGAAGCCATCCTCCACGCGCCATGGCCATGCGGAGCGTGGCCGGGGGCCTGCGGAGCGCCCTGGGTCTGTTTCTGGCCTTGGCCGTCCATCCGGGCGAGGCCTCCAACTCGTCGTCGAGCTGTTCGGGCTGCGACATTGAGGACTGGAACGACGAGAAGTTCGCGCAGTGCAACTTCTGGGGTGACCCCCACATCACCTCCAGCTACGGCGATTTGGGCTCCTTCGACTTTCAGGGCCTCGGCCTGTGGAAGGCGTCCGTGTCCAGTGCCTGCGGATACAAATTCCAGGTCAACGCCTTTACGTGCCGATATACTCCGCAGCTCTGGAGCAACAGCATCACGCGTTACCTGGCCATCCAGATCGGCGACAAGATCATTTACGTCAATAACACCAATGTAGGCAAGGGAAGGGGATGAGGGGATGGGGAATCCCACGGCACAAGCGAAGCTTAGCCTTCGCCTTAGCCGCCTGACAGGTGGCAGCGGTCTGGGTTTGGTGGATGATCCTTCTTTCAGCCTCCAAACTGCCGGCATCAACATTCAGAGCCCGGACAAGTGCTTCCGAATGAACGTGAACGTAAAGCCTCTGGATGGCGGCTCGCGTTCCGTGCTCAGTGCAGGGGGATGTGGCAATAGCGGGGAGTGCGCAGACTTATGCAACTCAAGGCTGGTACCACAATGTGAAGCTCCGCGTGTTCAAGCATGCCGTTGAAAAGGACCCGTCTGCTCTTCGAGTGGAGAGCAAGCCCACGCACTGCTACGCTAACAGCCGACAGGCATGGTGCTCGTAGGGCAAGGGTTATAGCCAGTCGTAGCCCGCATCTGAGAGGATGGCATCTGTGGTTCATCCGACTTGCGCGATCAGCATCTCGGAACAATCCCGGCCTCTCAACCTTCTTCTGCCATGCCCAGCCGAGCGCTGAGCGCCGCTTTCAGGCTCGTCTCCCACGATGATGCCGACGTGCTGTTCACGGAGGAGCAGCTGGCTGAGATGTGCGGTGCCTGCACGGAGCCAAACGCGCCGGCCCCACTTGGTTGTCCTGGCTCCGACACGAGCAGCATCCCGGCGGAAAGGCTCCTGAGGCTCCTAAGGCTCCTAAGGCTGCTTACGCTGTCTTTTTCTCCTCAGAGGTCCCGGCTGCGAGTTCATGAGCCAGTCCACGAACCTCAACAGCTTCGAGTGCACGAAGGACATGCTCCCGCAAGACGGGGATGCTCCGGATGCGGACAACCTCACCAAGTACCTCGAGCTCACCAACAACGGAGAGTATTGTATGGCGTATGTCAAGACGAAAGGACGCGGTGGAAGCAACAATTGCAAAGAGTACTGCGAGGACATCGGCTCGAAGTGCGTGGCTGTGTGGGACCAGATTGCCCGCACAAGCTGCATGTTGGATCCGGTTGACATATTCGAGAAGCACGGAGCCACCTGCGACCATCGTGCAAAGCTCAGCGACATGCTCTGCATTTGCGACAAGCCTTCTCCGGACGACCCGTTCCCTGGCCCTCCACCGGAGCGCGTCTGCGGGGGTGCTGAGCCCTTCAACGAGGCCAAGGACCTCTGCAAAGTTTGCCTTCCGAACGCCGAGTACAGTGACAAGCCTGTGACCGAGCAAGACCAGCGGCTCCGGTCTTGCATCCTGGACATCTGCTCCCTCCCAGACACCGCCACGCTCGATGACAAGAAGGCCATCTCCGAGAACGCCTGCGAGCAAGATCCGATTCTTCCTCCCTCCGGCCGGAAGCTCTGCTCCTCTGGAGGGCCCCTCGCCGGCAGCTAAATGCAGCTATCAGCCCCTCCCACAATGCCTCAATGCCTGGGCCCAGGTTCTGTGAATCCATCTGCGGCGACAACCTCGTGTTCCCCTCCATCGGCGTCGGTGCCTTTAAGGGTTTGGCTGACTTGGTGCCGCAGTGCCGCCTTCTGCCCCACGCTGAGGCTAGCGCTTGCCAGAGCCTCTGCAAGCCCCTCTTCGAGTCGAAGGTGGCCCCCGGGTTGCGGGGCTTCTGCGACTTCAAGGATTCCTGCCAGGGCCAGGAGTGCAGCCTAAGCCTCAGCCTGCAAGCAGAGCTCAGGTCCTAGGCCTAGGCCACAGCCACAGCCTCTTCTCACCGAGGCGAGTCCAGTTACTACTGCCCTTTACTGTGCCAGAGCCTCGAGTGCGACCAGAATGTTCAGGCTCAATGGGTCCAAGTCTTGATCCGAGCCTCGAAGCCTCGAATCGAAGACTCCTAGCCCTAACTCCTGGCAGGATGGATGCTCCGGATGCCAGGAAAGGTGTGCAGACGTTTTCGGCGATGTTGACGACATCCTCGAAGAGTACTGCGAAGACTGCTACTCCGTGCCCGTAGACGATTCGGATCTCTGCAAACGACCCGGGTGCCTCGACGCTTGATAGCGGGGGGACTGCCGAGCTTTGATTGTAACCTCGGTTCGGCAGAGGGGCTCCGCAGCCAATCCGTGGCAAAGCACGCCTGGACTCCGCATGCTTGCTTGCTTAGCCGGCCTGGCCGCACGTCGTTGCGCATACCTGCTCACTCAATGTCTTCTTGCTTTCTTGCTGGCGGTACCTGCTTGCTTCTTACTGGCCACCTACGGTCGTCGTCACGTACCGACTGAGTTCCGACTTAGTTTCATAGAGCTGATCTATGCACAAAGTAGCATATCTGAATATTTTCTTCGCGTGTACGATTGTACGATGCTCGGTAGGTTCTGCAGCGAAGCTTCGTCAAAGTCTTGCGGGGGTCACTCGACTCTCAGGTTCTGTGCGGAGTACTGCAAGGGCGCCGTGAACGGCAACGATCCCCTGGTCTTCCCATCAGCTGACGACTGCCTTACCGTCTGCAACAGCGACGATGGGTACGACCGCATCATCAGCACCGTCGAATCCAAGTTCTGCCCAAGTGACATTTCCGGGAAGACTGCGAATCAGATTTGCAAGGGAGGCCTCTGCAGGATTCCTGGCAAGCGCAGGGCGTGCTTCGGTCCGTGTGCCAACGCGCTCTTGGACAGCACGGGCCTGGGTGGCTTCTTCCGGGAGTATTGCAATACTTGCACGACCCCGCCCAGCACGACGACCACCACCACCCCCAGCACCACCACCAGCACCACCACGACCACTACGACCACCACAACAACCACGACCACCACGACCACCACAACAACACCACCACCACCACCACCACCACCACCACCACGACCACCACAACCACAACAACCACCACGACGACAACGACCACCACGACCACCACGACCACCACGACCACCACGACGACAACGACCACCACGACCACCACGACCACCACGACCACCACGACCACCACGACAACCACGACCACCACGACCACCACGACCACCACAACCGCAACAACCACTACGACAACGACCACCACGACCACCACGACCACCACAACCACAACAACCACTACGACAACGACCACCACGACCACCACGACCACCACAACCACAACAACCACGACGACCACTACGACAACGGCTGCCGCGACCACCACAGAAGAGGTCACGACTACAAGCTTTGTGGCCCCATCAACTTCCGCTCCCGCCAACGCTTCCATCTGCGAAGATGCAGGGTGCTTCGGCTCGCAAGTTTCTGAAACGAATAGCAGCAAACTAAAGTCTAACGCGAAGCGATGGGCAAGCTTTCAGCTTTTCTGCGATGAGTTCGTTGACACAAGCAGTGTGTTGCGAGGTTCTGCGGTGCCATTTGCGACATCGGCTTCGCTGGTGCTAGATGTCGAGACGACTGCGGTTCGAAAGCTCGGAAGATCACTCGGACATTCTGCAGGTGCGGACTGTGCTCCTCCGGGCACCCTTCGCTCATGGAAGTAAACGAGGACGTTGGCCTCCTGCAGTCCCGGTCGTATGCCCTGCAACCGGACGTGGAGACGGAGAGCAGCGAGCTGTCTGCAGGCCTCTGCTCCTGCCGCCGCTCGGACTTTAGAACACTTAGCGCTGTGCGGGGGTCTGTGCTCAGTACTCCTCCGAGACATGTGTGTGGCCCCATTCTAAGGCAGCAAGTCCTTCTACTGCAAGAGGCTCTGCGACGACGGCCTCAAGATGAAAGGGAATCGCGAGCCCGCTTGCATCCAGGGCTGTCTGCAGAAGTTCTCTCAAGTCGTAAGCGTCCTGGAGAGCTACGAAGGGAAGTGCCCCGATTGCAAGGCCAGCGTCGCTCCTGATGTGCCTTGCCGTGCCTTGCCGTGCCTTGCCGTGCCTTGCTGTGCCTTGCTGTGCCTTGGCCTCCTGCTTTAGAGCCGACAGGTCCGAGGCGATGACGACAGAAGGGACAGAGCCATAGCTTGTGCTTGCACCTGGCTGAATGTTCCCATCCTTTCATTTTCATCTGTGCGACAACCAGGACGATGACAAAAAGCGGGACGATGACAAGAGAAGGGATGACGACAAGAAGAGGGACAGTGCCGGGGCGTGTGGTGATAGTGCATGCTGATGGTGTCGAAACTGCCACAAGCCGGCATGCACATCTTGCTCCCTGGCCTAACGAACGATCATGAATGCAGGACGATGACAGGAAGAAAGATGATGACAAGAAGAGGGACAGCTTGTGCACACTTGGCTGCCTGTGTAAAGGCCGAGGCCGTACCAGTCAGGGTTGTACTTTCACCTCACTGCTTCAAGCTATTGCACAGCCTGACATGCAAATGAAGGACGATGACCGCAAGAAAGATGATGACAAGAAAAAGGACAGCTTGTGCAAGCTTGGCAGTCTGTATGAAGGCCCTTGTCCTTCCATTCAGCTTGATTGTGACTCCTGCCTAGTTCTTCGTTTGCCAAGCCTGACGACTGTGTCATGGGGGAATGTCCGCGCAATGCAGGACGATGACAGGAAGAAAGATGATGACAAGAAGAAGGACTGCTTGTGCAAGTTTGCAAAAGCCTAGGGCATGCTAGTCTGCTAGTTCTGCTAGTCAAAGTTGTGATCTTGTCTGACTATGTGAAGCTTCTGCGAAACCTGGAGACGTGTGTCCACAGAGAGTTGCATCAATGAAGGACGATGACAGGAAGAAAGATGATGACAAGAAAAAGGACAACTTGTGCAAGCTTGGCTGTCTGTATGAAGGCCCTTGTCCGTCCAGTCAGCTTGATTGTGACTCCTGACTAGTTCTTCGTTTGCCAAGCCTGACGATTGTGTCAAGGGAATGCTCGCGCAATGCAGGACGATGACAGGAAGAAGGATGATGACAGAAAGAAGGACTGCTTGTGTAAGTTTGCAACTGCCTAGGGCGTGCTAGTCTGCTAGTCCTGGTGGTCAAGGTTTGCTCTTGTCTGACTATGTGAAGCGTTTGCGAAACCTGGAGACTGCATGTCCAGAGAGAGTTCCAACAATGCAGGACGATGACAGGAAGAAAGATGATGACAAGAAAAAGGACAGCTTGTGCAAGCTTGGTGTCTGTATGAAGGCCCTTGGCCGTCCAGTCAGCTTGATTGCGGCTCCGGCCTAGTTCTTGGTTTGCCAAGCCTGACGACTGTGTCATGGGCAGTTTGTGCGAGTTTGCAAAAGCCTAGGACATGCTAGTTAGATAGTCCTGGTAGTCAAAGTTGTGCTCTTGTCTGACTATGTGAAGCGTCTGCGAAACCTGGAGACATGTGTCGACAGAGAGTTCCATCAGTGAAGGACGACGACAGGAAGAAAGATGATGACAAGAAAAAGGACAGTTTGTGCAGGCTGTCGTATGAAGGCCGTTTCCCGTCCAGTCAGCTTGATTGTGACTCCTGACTAGTTCTTCGTTTGCCAAGCCTGACGATTGTGTCAAGGGAATGCTCGCGCAATGCAGGACGATGACAGGAAGAAGGATGATGACAGAAAGAAGGACTGCTTGTGTAAGTTTGCAACTGCCTAGGGCGTGCTAGTCTGCTAGTCCTGGTGGTCAAGGTTTGCTCTTGTCTGACTATGTGAAGCGTTTGCGAAACCTGGAGACTGCATGTCCAGAGAGAGTTCCAACAATGCAGGACGATGACAGGAAGAAAGATGATGACAAGAAAAAGGACAGCTTGTGCAAGCTTGGTGTCTGTATGAAGGCCCTTGGCCGTCCAGTCAGCTTGATTGCGGCTCCGGCCTAGTTCTTGGTTTGCCAAGCCTGACGACTGTGTCATGGGCAGTTTGTGCGAGTTTGCAAAAGCCTAGGACATGCTAGTTAGATAGTCCTGGTAGTCAAAGTTGTGCTCTTGTCTGACTATGTGAAGCGTCTGCGAAACCTGGAGACATGTGTCGACAGAGAGTTCCATCAGTGAAGGACGACGACAGGAAGAAAGATGATGACAAGAAAAAGGACAGTTTGTGCAGGCTGTCGTATGAAGGCCGTTTCCCGTCCAGTCAGCTTGATTGTGACTCCTGACTAGTTCTTCGTTTGCCAAGCCTGACGATTGTGTCAAGGGAATGCTCGCGCAATGCAGGACGATGACAGGAAGAAGGATGATGACAGAAAGAAGGACTGCTTGTGTAAGTTTGCAACTGCCTAGGGCGTGCTAGTCTGCTAGTCCTGGTGGTCAAGGTTTGCTCTTGTCTGACTATGTGAAGCGTTTGCGAAACCTGGAGACTGCATGTCCAGAGAGAGTTCCAACAATGCAGGACGATGACAGGAAGAAAGATGATGACAAGAAAAAGGACAGCTTGTGCAAGCTTGGTGTCTGTATGAAGGCCCTTGGCCGTCCAGTCAGCTTGATTGCGGCTCCGGCCTAGTTCTTGGTTTGCCAAGCCTGACGACTGTGTCATGGGCAGGTTGTGCGAGTTTGCAAAAGCCTAGGACATGCTAGTTAGATAGTCCTGGTAGTCAAAGTTGTGCTCTTGTCTGACTATGTGAAGCGTCTGCGAAACCTGGAGACATGTGTCGACAGAGAGTTCCATCAGTGAAGGACGACGACAGGAAGAAAGATGATGACAAGAAAAAGGACAGTTTGTGCAGGCTGTCGTATGAAGGCCGTTTCCCGTCCAGTCAGCTTGATTGTGACTCCTGACTAGTTCTTCGTTTGCCAAGCCTGACGATTGTGTCAAGGGAATGCTCGCGCAATGCAGGACGATGACAGGAAGAAGGATGATGACAGAAAGAAGGACTGCTTGTGTAAGTTTGCAACTGCCTAGGGCGTGCTAGTCTGCTAGTCCTGGTGGTCAAGGTTTGCTCTTGTCTGACTATGTGAAGCGTTTGCGAAACCTGGAGACTGCATGTCCAGAGAGAGTTCCAACAATGCAGGACGATGACAGGAAGAAAGATGATGACAAGAAAAAGGACAGCTTGTGCAAGCTTGGTGTCTGTATGAAGGCCCTTGTCCGTCCAGTCAGCTTGATTGCGGCTCCGGCCTAGTTCTTGGTTTGCCAAGCCTGACGACTGCGTCATGGGAGAATGTTCGCGCAATCCAGGACGATGACAGGAAGAAAGATGATGACAAGAAGAAGGACTGCTTGTGCAAGTTTGCAAAAGCCTAGGGCATGCTAATCTGTTAGTCGTGCTAGTCAAAGTTGTGATCTTGTCTGACTATGTGAAGCTTTTGCCAAACCTGGAGACGTGTGTCCACAGAGAGTTCCATCAATAAAGGACGATGACAGGAAGAAAGATGATGACAAGAAGAAGGACAGCTTGTGCTAGTTTGGCTGTCGGCATGAGGGCTGCGCTTGATTCTGAGTCCTGCGCGGTTCGGAAGTCCGAAAAACTCATGCGAAGCCTGACGCGAGTGTGTCAAGGGAATGTTCGCGCAATGCAGGACGATGACAGGAAGAAAGATGACGACAAAAAGAAGGACTGCTTGTGAAAGTTTGCAAATGCCCAGGGCATGCAAGTCTGCTAGTTCTGGTTGTCAAAGTTGTGCTTTTGTCTGACTACCTGAAGCGTTTGCGCAACCTGGAGACGTATGTCCTTAAAGAATTCCATTAATGAAGGACGATGACAGGAAGAAAGATGATGACAAGAAAAAGGACAGCTTGTGCAAGCTTGGCTGTCTGTATGGAGGCCCTTGTCCGTCCAGTCAGCTTGATTCTGAGTCCTGCATAGTTCGAATGCGTTAGAGACTCATGCGATTCCTGACGACTGTGTCACGGGCATGTTCGCACAATGCAGGACGATGACATTAAGAAAGATGACGACAAGAAGAAGGACAGCTTGTGCAAGCTTGGTGTCTGTATGAAGGCCCTTGTCCGTCCAGTCAGCTTGAATGTGACTCCTGCCTAGTTCTTGGTGTGCCAAGCCTGGCGACTGTGCCAACGGAATGTTCGCGCGCAACGCAGGACGATGACAGGAAGAAAGATGACGACAAGAAGAAGGACTGCCTGTGTAAGTTTGCAAAAGCCTAGGGCATGCTGGTCTGCTAGTCCTGGTACTCAAAGTTTGCTCTTGTCTGACTATGTGAAGCTTGTGCGAAACCTGGAGATGTGTTTCCACAGAGAGTTCCATCAATGCAGGACGATGACAGGAAGAAAGATGATGACAAGAAAAAGGACAGCTTGTGCAAGCTTGGCAGTCTGTATGAAGGCCCTTGTCCTTCCATTCAGCTCGATTCTGAGTTTCGCGCGGTTCGGAAGTGCGAAAAACTCATGCGAAGCCTGACGACTGTGTCAAGAGAATGTTCTCACAATGCAGGACGATGACAAGAAGAAAGATGATGACAAGAAGAAGGACTGCTTGTGGAAGTTTGCAGATGCCTAGGCCATGCTAGTCTGCTAGCCCTGCTAGTCAAAGTTGTGCTCTTGTCTGACTATGTGAAGCGTTTGCGAAACCTGGAGAAGTATGTCCATAAAGAGTTCCATCAATGAAGGACGATGACAGGAAGAAAGATGATGACAAGAAAAAGGACAGCTTGTGGAATCTTGGCTGTCTGCGAAAAGGTGGAGGCCCTTGGTGCTGTCTCCTGACCACTTAACACCGATGTGACGCCTGATGTTATTCATAGAAAGAGCTAGGCTGACAGCTACGGCAGCTTGTAGTGGCTTGTAAGTACGCGTCCGGAGCGTTTCCACAGCTTTTTGTGTGAAGGCCCTTGTCCTGACAGTCAACTTTCTGTTAACTCCCGGCCCAAAGCTCCTATTCCGGGCTGGCTACCCTGACTCGGGCCACTTCTGGTGGGTTTTACGCACACCCTTTCTTTCCGAGCCACACAGGGCTCGCCTACTACTCTCTCCGGTGGCGCACGATCCTAAATGACCCCCTCGGGAACCTCACGCGGAGGGAGCTGATGACGTTTACAGAAGCCCCCTGAGATGCTGGGCGGGGAAGGGTGGCGGAGACCGCGGCTACTGCTGCAGGTCGAACTCTACCTACCTACCCGTTAACTGATGTTGTTGACGGTGGGATTTAAATACACAGCAGTTCTTCCGTAGTAGCTTGTATTTGTAATTGCTTGCAGGACGACGACAGAAAGAAGGATGACGACAAGAAGAAGGACACCGACACGATTTGTAGAGGTGTGCTGACTGCTTGGAAGCCTGCGAGAAGGTCAAAGAGATGCGCTGTTAACACATTCTGTTTCCTCTATTGAATAAACGGAGAGGAGGGACGGTGGACAGGGCCATAGGCAACATACTCTCCATACCGCTCGTGTCCAGGATGTTGCAAATTCTTCATTAAATGTATACGAGGCGACTTGATCAGAAGCTCTCCAAGTGTTCCAGACCTCGAATCTTTGCCTGATTCCTGAAGCATACGATCCGTGCAATGCGATTGCTCGTGAACTATGACTTTCTGAGAATCTACCTCCATCCACTTCTCATAATCGTTCATCGGGGGACACCTGGAGACTCGCCGATCTCAGCAGTGCACAGGAATCGATATTATTGCCTCGAATGTGTTCCTCGATCCATCTGCTGTGGTTGTTCTCTCTGCGACTGGGAGGATGATGATGGATCGCGGAGGCGCAAGGACTGGAGCCGTTGTTGATGTATCTGTCGGTACACCTT